TAAGGGTGAGTGTGCGGCTGGAGGGTGGGTGTGCGGCTGGGAGGGTGTACGGCTGGCTGTGTGCGGCTGGCTGGCCGCACACTCGGGTGTGCGGCCTCACACACCTTGCTTGGTGTGTTTGGCTCGATTTTGTGATGCTACACACATTCTAACCCTTCCCAAGACTCATATCTAGGTTATACTAAGCCTAGAACACTCATATAGACCCACAATTTCGTTAAAAGATAGCAAAATGAAGGCTGACACTCGGCTGAGTTGAATAGCTGAACTTTACAAGACAAGGATTTTCGGGTTGTCACAGTTTGCCAACTTTATGGATCGCCAAAGTCCCTTTAGGGTTAGGAGTGATGGATCTGGAATTTCTTAGAGTTTTGAACTCTTGCATGTGATCTTGGCCCTTTTTTCTCTATTTTAACCTAGTTTGAGTTCAAGACATGAATTGGACATGCATGTCTATAAAGCATCGCTTTTTATGGTTCATTGGATGAGAGAATGCTTATGGGAAGTTTGAATGGTTGGCTTGATGGATTAAGAGCATAGTAGAATAAGTTGGTATTAACAGTCACCACGGCGTGGTGTCTGGTCACCACGACATGGTGAATGGCTGTCATGCGATTGTTTTGTCTTCTAGTCACCACGATGTGGTGAAAGCTAACCACGACGTGATGACTTGCTAAGTTGAGTTGTTGACTTTGACCTTTGACCAGGGTTTGACCAAGTTTGACCTAAGTGTATTTTAGGTAGTTTGGACAATATTTTGAGACAAGGTCATTGTTTGTTGTATAGGTGACCAGTAGAGTTGGTATGCGGAGCTGTGGTATGATCAACTATCTTTTCGGCTTGAGAGGTGAGTCTTCCTCACCGTACTTGTGGGTCGAAAACACCAATGTCGGCCCATTAGATTATGTATCCTGGTATATAGAATGTTGTTGTGCTGTAGTGATCTGTTATATCTGTGTCATGGTATATAGGATGTTGCTATGCAGTAGTGATCTGTAGATCTGCGTGTTTGTCTGTTAACCGGTTATATGTTTATCTGCTATGTATATGTCGACATGTTATGGCTTGGGGTTGAGGCTTTACTGCTATGTGCGTGAGCCAATAGACCGGAGGTATTCCAGTCCGACGACTGAGTGGACCCAAGGATATTCCAGTCTGATGATTGAGCGTACCCGTTTTATATTGGCATTCCAGTCCAATGACTGATTGGACCCAACATGCAATGTTGTATATGTTATGTTGTGTGGTGGTACTTTGGGGGAACTCCACTAAGTGTAACATCCTAAGATTTAAAACCAAAAAATTTATTTTCATAATAATAAAACCATCAACCAAAACGTGTTCATAAAACCATAAAAGGAAAATCAAAGTATGTCAATCAATCATCTCAATACATCAGAGGAAAATAAAATGGAAATCCTGGTGTGTGCGACGCAATCATCCCGAGCTCTTCTCCTTCGATCCGGAAGAACCTGAAACATAAACTTAAAACCCTAAGCACGAAGCTTAGTGAGTTCCCCAAAATACCGCATACCATACATATCTGCCAGCTCAAGGCTGTGTCGGGTCTATTTCACCCCCGAGTCTATTTCAACTCATGTGTCGGCCCAAAGTCGTACCGGGTCTATTTCACCCCCGAGTCTATTTCAACTCATATGTCAGCACTAGGCTGTACCGGGTCTATTTCACCCCACATACATATAGAAAACATACACACATGCATATAACACATACATAAGGAGTTACAAAGACTATAAGCACATAACATATCCTAGTGTCCTATAGTATAGTGAGTAAACTCACATCAGTTAACTGTTAGTCAAACAAATGATCGGGCTGCTGAACCGAAAAATCTCTGTGTTTGAATCAATCAAATAAAACCCCAAATAATAATTGGGCCATAAACCATAACTGGGAATCTACTTCATTTGTCCAACACCCAGGGTAAAAGACCATTTTACCCTTTCCTTACTTGGCCCAATAACCGAGTCCCAAACCAATGACACCAAAAACCCCAATATGGCCTAAATTCCTAAATGATACCCAAAGCCCATTATGGGCCCAAATCCAAGAAGGCCCAAAGCCTAAAAATGGCCTAAAGTCAGAAATACTAGTGGCCCAACAACGCCCAAAACAGTAATAGTCGAAATATGGCCCAAACCACAAAGTCAACGAAAGTCAACAACTGCTGAGTACGCCCAGCTTACTTAGGCTTACGCCCGACGTACGCCACCTTTGGCCAGTATGCATTGCGTATGAGTTGGGTATGCTCATCATACTCCACAACAAGCCTAACTCACCATTAAGTGCTTAATTGGTTAATCCATTAAGTCCACTTCTCAGATCTAATCCTAAATGATGTATTAACATGTAAAGTTGGCAACTTTACTCCTTTGCATGTCTTAATGGGACCCAATACTTGATTTTGGCCAATAAAACCCATAATAAGAACCCTAACTCATGCATGGTCCAATATAACACATCAAAATTGCATTTTTATGCACAAGGAGCCTCAAAAATGCTAAGATCTACCATCCCTAGTTTCTGGAGTAGCTCATACTCTCAAGCATGACTTAAGGGACCATAAAATGCACAAAAACAAGCCCTAACTAGATCTAACACAATGAACCATCAAGTTAAGAGCTTTATACCTCCAAAAGCTTTCCAAGTTAGTGATGATTTTGGATCCACAAGCTCCAACCACACCAATGCAACTTCCAAGAGCTCTTCTTCCTTCAAGATCACCAAAAACACTCTCAAAGATCACTTCCAAGCTCAAAACACTCAAAAGACAATTCAGGTTTCGTTTTCAGGGTTTGGAGAGGTGGAGTGTGAGAACAAACATCTGATTGCGCAGGGACAAGGTTCAAATTGCCTTAGTTGACCAATTTTCTGTAATATTTAAGCATCTCATCATCTTGTTTAATTGCAAGCTTTTAATTCTTCAAGTCTTTTAGTTTCCAAATAAGTCACAACCCCCCCCCCCCACCCCGCCCTTTTCAATTTAATTTTAGTTGTTTAGTTTTATTTCACTTGTTCAGTTGTATTGCATTAACTATTAAATTACAACCATTTCTCCGTGAATTCGATCCCCCTTTTTACTACTATATTATGTTTTATTTGCAAGCAAAATGATGTAATTTGTTTGGTGGCTTGACATCCCACCATGTATCTCAAGATGCTTGTTGGTACAAACAATATGTCACATGTAGATAGATGGAAAATGGCGACTGATATTTTTTTTACCGAACTTTCCACATATAAAGTGAAAACCTCATCGTGGATGGAAGCCTTACACTACATAATTCATTATTGGGGAGCATCAACGTTTATATTACGTGTCTATTTTCGAGCCCTATTTCTATTTCTTTTTGGATAATGATTTGGGTGAAAAGAAAGTATCATAGGTGAGTTGAAAACAATTATGGCAAGTAAAGATGAATGACCACTAGGAATTTTTTTTGAGAAAATTTATCAAATAACCAAAAGGAGGGGAGTGTTTGAAGAAAATGACCAAGAAAAACACAATTTTATAAAATGACCATGATTTCCGCAGAAAGGGGCTCTGCGGAAGTCCTTATACTCTAAGGAACAAGAAAACTCTATGAGGAAATGACATGGCGGGGGAAAAAGACAAAAAAAAATTATAAAATTTTAATTCTGCAGAGGGTGCATTGTTCCACAGAGATGCCATCTGCAGATCTATTCTTCAGAGGAGTACCTCTAAGGAATTGTTCTTCGCTAAGAACTTCCGCAAAGAGTTTTCTTGTTCCCCAGAGCATAAGAACTTCCGCAGAGCCCCTCTCGGCGGAAGTCGTGGTCATTTTATAAAATTGTGTTTTTCATGGTCATTTGCCTCAAACACTCCCCTCCTTTTTGGTTATTTGATGAATTTTCTCATTTTTTTTTATTTTTTTTGCTTTTGTTTTCAATAGAGCTTTAATATTTAAATAGACACGGTGATTCCTTGAAGATCCAAAAGATTTACGGGTTAAGATGATCAAAGCAATTTATGGAGAAGATGGTTCATCTCAATTGTACCATCGCTTGAAGTTTTTTTTTATGGACCTTAGATTAATATCAAACAGTCATATTTCCATCTCGATTCGAAATGTATGAATTTAGACTTGTTTTGCTTGAAAAGAATTGAAAATGGCCAAACACTAGATTTTCGGAGGATAAGTGGTTTGGAGATGTTCTTATTAAAACTCGATCCCCAAGAGTTTACTACGTGGATTTAGATCGTGAGGTCAAAGTTAGTTTGCAATTTCCTCTTAATTGTTGGCTAAGTTGTTTAACGTGTACATCATTATCTAAAAGATGACAAGGAAGAAACTTGACTTCATTTACTAGAAATTTAAGGATCTATCAATACTCTTTCTAATCATAATGCTACATTGTATAACATGGGAGACTTTTCGGTGTCTTTTGATAAAAAGTAGTTTATAAGTTACTTTTTGGTTTGCCAACATGAAAACTTAAAAAAAAAATTCAAAAAATAAATTAATTGTGACTTGACAAACATAACCTTAAAGCCAAACGGTTAGTTTAGAGATTGAGATTAAAGAGGGTGCCTACAAAAATTTACTTGCATTAAAAATGATTGACGTGGAGTCTCCTTTTTGTCCTACTTGCGACGATCATAGTGACAAAGTTGACCATTTTTGTATCATTGCCTCCTTAGCTCTTCTATTTGGAATCAACTAGCACATTGCTAATTTTTAATGAAAGTTTGTCGTTCCAAAAAGACCGTTTTACACATATTTTCTTATTTATTTACATAACAAGATAAACCAACTATTAACTAATTAGAGTACATAATAGAGTATTGATATGAAACCTACTATAATGTTGTCATGGAATAAACATTGGTTCTAACTTTCAAACCCTACAACCACACGAAACGACCATGAAATGTAAAAGTATAAAACAAGGGAGAATACCAAAACTCGGGAAGATGCAAGATAGCACTACTATTACAAGAACAAAATTCATATCGTATTACGATTACAATATTGGATATATTCATGTCATCTTGACATAATATGGGTAAAGAACGACATCAAAACTATATTTAACATACAAACATCAACCTCGACAATATAATGGTATTCAAGATCTATACATCTAAAGATTATACACAAAAAATTTCTAAAGAATACAGCAAACCATTCTACGCTTTCACAAATGTTAAAAAAATATCACTCAGATTCAAATTTTGAACATGGCGGTGTGGTTTCAGATTTCTGGAAGTGGGACAACTGCTTCAAAAGCTTCAACAAGCATGGAGACTCTCTTTTTTCGAGCAGGAGTCAGTTTAGTGACAATATGTTGAACTGCATAATCAAGCATCCATTGCTCGGCTTTCTTCCTCTCGTCCATCATTTGACGCCTTAAATCAACCTTTTCCTTTTCAGGATCACTAATCCTCACTTCTCTTTGTAGGGTTTGCGGTTTAAGATTTCTAAACCCTTCTAATGCCTTAATCGATCGTTTCAGCAAAATCAATTTCTTCAATTTGCTCCAGTTCTTCGACTTCTGGTTCTGTAATCTGCTAGCAATTGTTGACATTCCGCTATCGATTGTCGGTTTCTTGTTTTCATCTAGAACGGAGTTGTTCTCCATTTTTTCCGGTTCACCCTCTTTCTTGTCGGAGAGTTCTTGATCGGAGACTTGGGAGGAAGGAGTGTCGGGAATGTCGGGAAGAAGGATTTCATCCAAGGATTCTCGTACGAGCTTAACCGCATCACTCTGCGTGAACGCAAGTCTGTAATTTCTTTCCGTTTGATCCTCAACTTCTTGCAGATTTTTCTCTTCGCTGTTCGTCGATTCATCTCCATCAAGAAGAAGGTCTGATCCAATTTTAGTAGCGATATCAGTTACGACGTGTTGGTAAATCATGTGCCACATTTTAATGCGTTTCTCTGTCTCCAAATCGGAAATCGATTCGCTTTTCTTCTCGGAAAACGAACCCAATACCACATTTGGCGATGGATTAATTTCAAAATCGGTGTTTGAATCAACACGTGTCAATTCATGATTCAACCCTTGTTCTTGGTTATCGTCCTGCGCAGGAGCCACCGTTTCAAAAGCTTTAACAAGCAAAGCGACTTTCCGTTTCTGGGTAGGAGCAAGTTCACCGACGACCTTTTGAAGCGCGTAATCGAGCATCCATTCATCGGAGTTTTTCTTGTCACCGGTCGTTTGACGTCGGAGTGAAACCGTTTCTTGTTCCGGTTGCGGCGGCAACGGGAGGTGTGTCGGCTTTTTCGGGTTAAATTTCTTCACTTTTTCTAGTTCTTTAACAAATTTCCTCAGAAGGAAGACTTTCTTCAGGCGACTCCAGCTCTTCGGTGCTTGTTTTTCAACTTTCGGTTCTTCAAGCTTCTCTGTGACTGTTCCCGTTTGTTCTTCCACTACTGGCGCCGGAGATTCCTCTTTTTGATTCTTTTCCGGCGCCGGAGATTCCTCTGTTTGATTCTTTTCCGGTAGATCTTGTTCTGGTATAACTTCACTAGTAGTGGATTGTTCATCTTGAACTTCTGGAAGAAGAATCTTCTCGATTGCATCTCGTACAAGTTTGATCGCAAACATCTTTCTGATCTCGGTTTCTTGATTCGCAACATCATCAAAATCTGAGAAAATCACATTAAAATGAGAATCTTTTTACAATTCTTTACGCTTAACCTAAATGCATGAAAGAAAGAACAAAAATATAAAACCTTTTGTTGAGATATTTAGTTTCTTGTCATCATCTACTTGTTGAACTATGTTGTCCCCTGATTCAGCTTCAAGACCCGATACCATATGCCTATGAATCATATGCCACATGCTCATTTGATTCGCTTTCTTTAAAGCTGGCTTCTTTTCAAGAACACTCTTCGACCCATTTAAATCCCCATCATTCTTCTCCTTCAAATCACTGAAATTTTCATTATCTAAAATGGGTTTTTCACTCTTTTTCTCATGCAAGCTGTTGACCCCAAACAAGATATCAGCCATCTCAGAATCATCATGACCATGGTTTTCAACAGGGTCGGATCTTGTTTTTGCATAGAATTCAATAGAGAAATCAACATCATTCTTGACTTCAGACACCCGTTTGGTTGCTTTTGCTTTTGCTTTAGCTTCTCGTTTCTTGCTCGTTTTTTTATCGGTTGGTTGGGTTTCACTTTCAGCCTTTTTAAGGGTATTTTGGTCATTTGTGGTGCGGCGTTTGAGGTACGCAAAGCGGGTGGGTGGTGGCTCGTGGTGGTGATGGTGGCCATGGAGAGAACAGTGTTGGTATGGACAAAACTTTGCTACTGGAAGCACTTCTTCGGGTTCTGATGGGCTAGTTTGATGCTTAAGTTGTTCAGGGAACTTTGAATCTTTGAGAATCGATGAAAATGTAGCTTTTGGAAAATGGAATTCTTCAGAAATGTCTGAATGAGTGTCAGTTGATGACTTATTTGATTTGAGACTAGACTTGTTCTTGCTTTTGCTTCTGAAGATCTTCACTGATCTCAAACTACCTGTCCTTGTGAACTTTGGTGTTGATTTCTATGTAGAAAAAATAGAAAGAAATGTTTGATTATTAAGTTGTTCTTTATGTATTAAGTTAAAAAGAAACACTTACTTGAACATAATTAGATGATTCATCGGATACTTCAACAGAAGAATGATCTGGTGGTGTGATCGAACCATCATCCGACATTTTGATTGAAGATTGACTGAGCCTCGATTGTGATCTCCTCCTTGATGATATGAAGCTCCCATAAGTACCGAGTTTCTTTGAATTTGACTTTTTTAGTACTTTCTTTGTTGTTGTTCCTCCTTTGACATTACTACTCTCTTGATCGAGTGAAGATGTTGCACTCGATATAGAGCCTTGCATTGATGATGAAACCGAAGTGGATTCCGAATCACTATCTCCCTGTCAAATACAAATCATGTAAAAACTCCAACTCCGGGATCTGTTCCTTATACATGACAGTACAGAACAGTACATTTTTATTATGCTAGGATTTGTGTCAATAGGACAAAAACTACAATTTCCGCACCATAAAAAAAAGGTGGGACAACGAGTCATTCTTGATCATTCTTTTTGTGTAATCGTTTGTGTAAAAGACGTAAATGTCCTTCGCCTTCGCATCAACAAAACCAAATAGCAAAGCTTGTATTGTTGAACATGAGACAAGACATGTTGAAATTTTAAAGATTTTTTTTCCGGGGATCCAACATTAACTTTCCCCGAAATTTAAAGAATTTTACAATTTTCTTTTAGTGTTTTTTGAATTTGGATTCTACATGATCTTTCAACTTTCACCACTAAATTGATCTTCTTATGAACTTAATGAATTCTCCATTTATGTTCTTCCCAATTTGTAGATCATATAAGTGGTGATTGAACACATAAACTATGCATCGATTAGTACCCATCTCACAACATGATAGAACAAGTCAACAAGAACGTGTTTGACTCCAATTAATGCTATAAATCTCTCCTCTAATGGATTTTTTTGATAATTCAACAAAACAAGGTTCAAACCCAGAATTCAGAGCTTCAAATGATTTGATTATGGAAAAAGAAACAAAGAAACTGAATTAACGGGAATTGCTAACCTGGGTCAAAGATGATTCGGGCGAAGGGCAGTCCGATAGGGGTTTCTTCTTTTCCCCCATTTCTCGAGTCAAAGATGATTCAATCGCCAGTTTTGAGTCACTAATCGTTTGGATCTTCAACACCCAGATGGAAAATTTTCAATATTTATGCAAAACTTTTAAATCAGTTGAATCAATTCATGAATTGAGGACATATGAAAGGGGTTTTAAGGTAGGCATGATGTAGGTGATATAAGGGGTGTTTTTCTTGAGACAAGATTATGATTTGGTGCTGGCAAGCAAATGATTTAGTGGCGGTGATAGCTGGTTTGATTGGCTTTTGTGTTGTAGATTGACGAATTTATGACTTTTGCATGTGGGGAGACTTCGAATTGGGTGATCTTGACTTGGCCCTTGTTTGACTTGGACAAGAAAGCTTGAATGATTTCACACGTAATGATGCAAGATGGAATTGTTAAAAGTTAAAGTGTATCTCTTTTTATATTCTATGTATTGGTTTCATTTATTCCTATCCCAATTTCATTTATCTCTATCCTTTAATCATTTTTTCAATCATTATATTTACTAATCATTTCACTTTTTTTTACTAATCATTACTACTTTTAATTATTTTAATAATTAAATTATGATTATATAGTTATTATTAATAGTTTTTTAATATATAATTAGTTAATATTTATAAACCTATTTATTAAAATATTATTTTTTTATTTGGTTTAATTATAGATAACTTATTTATATTATTTCATTAAAAAGATACATAAATATTTATAAATCTATTCACTAAAATATTTTAAATCTATTCTATCTTTTTTTTTATTAGCAAATATAATTTTTTTACTTTATCTAGGTCATCTTTTTTTTGTTACGATAACAATTTTTTTTAACTTATTGTGCCTCACATATATAATGAATTCAAAATTTTACCTTTACTAATAAACATCATTAAACATATTAAACATATGGTATGAAAATGTTAGTTGGCAGCCACCAAATGGGAGTTAATCGTGCGACCTTAGCAACCAAAAAAATTATATATTACTAGTAAACATTATTAAAACATATGAGTTTGATATATTTTAAAAGAAAAATAAATTATATGTTTAAAAAAATCTATAAAAATATTGGTTGGTATATCTTAAATATAATTTGTTTTTTCTTTAGCGGGACAAACAAAATAATTTTTGGCTATAAGCAAACTATAACCCAATTCACTTATCAAACTTCGATGGCCAATATTGCTGTGACAATATTAAATATTAAATAATAAAAAATATATATTTAACTCGCCGTCGTTGTAGTTATTTTGAAGACCAAGATTGGAATATTTGAAAAAAATCCAAGCGAAACACTAAGAAATAGGAAAGTGTAGGAAACGACATTTATCTATTAAAAAATAACAATAGCTAAACTAAAAAAAATGATATTTATGAAATTTATCCAATAATATTATATCAAACAAAAAACGAATAGATATATCTTTAATATTATATTTTTATATATATTTAAAAATAATTAATAAAACTATTTACCTAAACAATAATTATTACTTTTACTTAAAAATAGAGAAGAGAAGAGAGAAACACTTTTACACGGAAAATAATGTCAGATTCTAATTATTTTTACCTAAAAAGTAATGATTGAGAGGGTATGGTAATAAAAAAAGGGTAGGAATAACATATCCCTATGTATTTTGATAGAAATAGGTCAACTGGTACTTCAGTAAAGCTCTAATTAATAGCAAATTTTAGTTTTTGATTTTCCTAGTCTTAAACAGATCAGTTTGGGATCTTGTTGATTTCTTTGTTTTTATATGAAAATCTTGTTCAAAAACTTGATCCACTACTCGTGATGTGTGTGTAAAAGAGCGTTAAAAGGACAAACATGAGAAGCGCACGATGACAGAGAACATAGCAAAAATGGTTTGAGGGTCACTATAATCACCAGGCAGAATTGATAAAGAACTTTATTATATTGAAGGAATATTGGGATCTCATAGAAGATGTGATCAATGTAACCCAAGCCGTACACAACCGAAACACAACAAAGAGTGATTGATGACCAAAGGTCGAGAGATATGAAACTCAAGAATTTTTGTATCAATCAGTCGATTGGAAGTTCTTGATATCATGCTCAACAGACGCGAGCAAGTACACAAGGGATAGTATGAGGTATTAGTTTCAAGGCTCGATTAATGTAAAAAGAGCACAACTATAAGCATTACGTAAGGATTTTTTAGTCCTCAACATGAATGAAGGTGAATCACTAAACAACAATATTCCACAAACACTTGTCATAGCAAAAAAAAAAAGATGAAAGGTTGTTGTGAAACAATTTGGGAGCTTTATTACTAGAAAATTTTAAGACACATGACGGTAAAACTCAACTATGTAGTGTGTTCCAGTGAACAATCAAACGAAATGGTCTGTAACGCCCGGTTCCATGTACGTATTTTAAATTGTATTTCAAGGATTTTTGGTTGCCTATGGCATGGTGAGAGGGTTACCACGACGTGGCAGCATGCTTGCCAAGCAGGTGATGGCAGCTGATGTGCAAAACCCTAATTTTCGGGCTTAAGGACCTATTTAAAGGATGTGATGGCTAGAGTTTCCCTCACCCTCACCCTCTATCACCTCCTAGAGTGTTCTTGAGCAACCATATCCCCCTTTGCAAGTTTGAAGTTCATTTTGGTGTCTTTAGTGCTTTTTGAAGGAAGCAGAAGGTATTGGTGCAAGGATCCAACAAGTCACTCCTCCTCATCCTTGGAATTACTCTATAGACCATTTGTAAGTCCTCAAGTTTCCAACTTGATGATTCCTTTCTTGTAGTCCAGTCTTCTTAGTAAGTTTTGGTCCATAAATGCAGTTTGAATGATGGGATGGGATAAAGTCTGCAACTTTATGACTCATCTAGTTCCCTTGAGCTTAATGTATTCTAGATCTAGAAGTTGGTTGAGATTTTTGAATCATGCATAAAGTTTTTGGTCATTTCCTCATATTTTGACCTAGTTAAGTGAAGGTCATGCATGGGTCATGCATGTCCATAAAATTGGTATTTTTCCAAACCTTTAAGGTACCAAGAAGCATTATGGAAGGATAGAACTGAAGGCTTAGCAGATTAAGAGCTGAATCCATTAAGCTGCATCTTTAAGGTTTCCACGGCGTGGAGTCTGGCTTGGGTCGCGACCGTTTTGTCTGGCCCGTGTCATGGCGTGGTGGCAAGCCTGCCACGACGTGGTAGTGGATTTTGATCGGGATCAAGTTAGATATCCATGACGTGGCCATTGGTTAGCCACGCCGTAGAGGGTAGTTAGAGTTGACTTTGACCATTGACCTTGATCGATTGACTTTTGACCTGGTTTGAATTTTACTCGAATGGCTAGTTTTAGAAGGTAGAATAAGAGTTACCTTGTATGATTTGTTAATAGGTGCGTAGCACCCGCTTTTTGACCGTGTGAGTTGTTTAGCTGTCGACTACGCTTGTGAGGTGAGTCTTCTCACTATACTATGTAGCTTACTAGATTGTCTTTGTGACTTTAACATGAAAGATCATGGGAGGACCCTGGCACTTGTATGAAAGACCATGGGAGGACCATGAAACTTGTATGAAAGACCATGGGAGGACCATGGCACTTGTATGATAGACCATGGGAAGACCATGACATCCGTACGGAAGACTATGAGAGGACCATAACAATGAAGACTGCAGGAGGATTGCAGTAATGATTGATTGTAAGACTGTGGGAAGAACACAACATTCACACATTATGTATGATATGTATGATATGTGAGATTTTGGGGAACTGACTAAGCTTTGTGCTTACAGTTTTATATTTGAATGTTTCAGGTACTTCTGATTCCAAAGGGAAGAGCCCGACATGATTGCATCGCATCCACCGGAGATTCCGCACTTATGATTTTATTATTACTCTGATGTTATTTTGGAAACATCTTCCGATACTTTGACTATCTTTTGGAAGTAATGAAAGAATGATTTGGTTAACTTAAAAATAAAAAACTTTACCTTGTGTTTTGGGAGGTTACAAGTTCACTCTTACATTGGATGATTTTCATAGTAGCTTGTTGGTTCATAAATAAAGGTGTTACTAAATACATAAGAAGAACACGTTCTCAATAATGTACATGTGGAAATTCTCTTAACACGTAAGGGTACATGCAATCTAAAATGGATATGTCTTTTCACATATAATAGCAACATACTTATGAAAACTACAAACTAACCCTTATGAATCGAAATTCATTGTTAAGATAATATACCTTTTGTGGATTCTAAACAAGCCATTCAAGATCATCTGGTCTCCTTGGAAAACCTAGCTCAAATAGTGTGTGAGCCACTAATGGTTCACACCCATAACTAGGGGTGTGCAAAAAAAAAAACGCATAAACCACACAAACTGCCTCACCGCATAACGCGGTACGGTGCGGTTTGCGGGTTTTACTTATAAAACCATGATTTAAACCGCACCCCACCATATATATACTAGGCGAATGCACGCGCGTTGCGCAGAAACACATATATAGTTGAAATCTTTACAAATATATGTTTTTTTTAAATATAACAATAACGTTGTTGTTAAATTTGATCTAATAATTCGTATACTAAATTGATATAATATATTGATTATTTTTAATTATATGATAATATATACATCTATTATAACTGTATAATCTCAACCGCTTGAATGACTTCTATTCACGAGTTACTCATGAATAAAATTAAATATAATATATGGCTTAATATTATTTATAGTTTTTGTTATTGTTAATTAATTTTTTTTAATTTATTTTCTTAACGTTTTTAATTTCTATCATTATAACTTTTTAAAACATCAGACATTGTTTTTTGATTTTAAAGGTAACAATATAATCATTTATATAGAGTTATTTTTAACTATTGTTATTGTAAGTTATTTTAAGCTACTTATTTGAAAACTTTTAATGATTATATAAATATCTTTAGAAAATATTTTAGTTAAATTGATATTATAATTTAGTTTTTGCATTTAGCTTTAAATTGATAATGGTTTATATACAACAACATATAAATCTAATAAATTTAAGTATAATATGTTAAAAGTTAAATACATAACTTTATAAGTAGAAGTAAATATATTATTTTAATATTGAAATTTAGTTTATTTATGAATACACTTTAGGTTTGATATTTATTTAACCTTATTAACCAAATTATAATCATTATTAGAAAGACACTACAATTTATCACTTTTAACTATTTACAAAATATTATTTGGGTTGTTTAAGTTAAACTAAAATTTATATTTAAGTTGATCGTGTAATGTTATATTTAAGTTTATAATTTAAATATTTTATACAAATTGTTCAAAGGTTATAGCTTTAAAATGATAATGGT